ATCGAGGAGAAGTGTATCCCCCAATTAGAAAAACACGCTTTCTGTTCCGCTGTCTGTACCCCAAGAATTGTAGTTATGTCGCATTGGTCCTGAACTAGAAGTATTTCGTTGCCTTCAAACTCGACAATCTCCTTTAAGCGACCTTCACTTGAACTTTTACAGAAAATCCTATTCAAAAGATTTCTGGTTTCATTACGACCTGAGCAAAAATTGAAATCGCTTAAATATTAGACACGTTCTCGATCACTACTAGTATCATTCACCAAAACGTACCCAAAGTTTCGCACAAATATGTTGAAATGTGTCGAGAGCTGGTATTCCCTTTTGTCAATAGATTCAATTCCCTGTGTACTTGCTCGTCTAGTTCAATTGAGCTAGCGCCAAAGTACGACTGGTATATGGTTTTGGTCATATTGTGATTGTGTGCGTGATTCTTATCGTGATGACATAAATACGGTTATTAAAGAATTAGATAGAATAAATCACCTTAAATTTACCTGATTACTAAGGACGATACGGTAGTTAGAACCTGGAGATAAATCAACTGTCGCCGTAAATCGAGCTACACAGTTGGTACACCGAAGCTTAGAGCGTCGTTTGCCTGACCCTCTACTTTTCTGAAGTGGACCATGAGTACAACGGTATGTCTTAAACGACCAACGTACTTTTTCAGGAATCAGAATCGCATCCTTTTTCCTGTTTTTAAAAAATCGGCTGAGTTAGCAATGCGACAACATAATGTTGAAAAGCTCAACTTACTTATTATGACTGCCTCGAGTGCAACTGTCTCAGGCACGAAATAGTACCAAGTTGGCAGCTTGATATATTTTCAACGCCTTGTCCAAACCCTCCCAAGTAGAGAAAGCAATGAGATTAAGAGCAGGTTTTGGATTAATAATGTCTGGACGTGAGTCTTCAATTTTATTGCGAAGATGCTCCGTATCGGATTTCCTTTGACGTGGTATATATTGTGAGATGTTGTCAGTTGAATACAGCCTTGATTTTTTCTGTGTAGCCGATCCCAATAAATGCGAAGGGTGTAATACTATTTAATATTGAACAAGCGATGTCAGTAAAAGTTATAATAATTAATAACATTAACTATTTTACCTTCTTCGATTTCCCCAGAAGGGTTCAATGAGTCGATAGTGGAACCGCCGCAATGATCGGTTTGAAGTCTTCGTTTTTCCTTTCTGGGCGAGACCTCGCCGTCGTCTGTGGTATTGCGTGCTGGTGTTTGTTGGTTAAGCTATTTAGAATAGGGATAGCTGCGACTTGTTTCTACATAACTTACGTGTTGTTCCCATTGCCACTTCACTTCCATACAGTCTCCAACTTGAGGCGGGATATTCCTTCTCCGTTTAGTCCGCGGTCAACACGCAGAGCCGCACGACGACAGTTGTTCGTTCGGTCAGCACCAAGAGCGGCAAGACGGCTTCCTTGCTCGTTTGGTCGATTATTCTTGTGTTGATGGTTTCGACTTCTCTCCCGAATGGTCGGTTTTTTATTGGAGTGCATTTTACTTTCAATTTACCTTCATAAATTTCCTCTTACGACAAAATTCGAATGTTAAAATTTTGCGCACCTTTATCTAGTTTCAGCGCCTTTAATGAAGTAAACACATGCAACTTAAAGGTGCTTGAACGACTTCCCTGTACGACGTTGACCTTGCGAATATTACCATCTTTTGCTTCACAGGACCTTATTGCCATAATTCACTCAGAATGAACATGAGGGCGCATCCTTCAATGAACGAAGAACCACTTGGCTTGTTAAAGGGCCTTAACAACGCTA